GTCATTTTTACTACGTTCCTTGAAGGTCACACATAAGTTTGTTTGAGGAGTGCTGCACAGGGGTACATGTTACAACCTACTCTTGAGTTGTGCTAAGTGTCAGTCTTGTTCAGTTTTGTTTTGTATTGGATTAAACATTTTATTTTGCCCAATCAGATGGGAGTGGGCGGGATTAATGGTACGCTGCATGAAAAGTGAGTGTGAAGGGCAGACAAGTGCAGAGCACAGCAATGCAGATGTGGGACAATAACAGGGTAAAGCTGTCCATTACAACGGTTAATGCAGAGTTGCCGACTGTAACTGACTTTAAGAAGCATATGAAAGTAGACCAGGAGCTAATCTTTGGACCTGCTGGACGAGTTAGAAGTTCCCCACTCAGCCGTTGGGTTCCCATCTGTGAGGTTGCTGCCAGGAAGAATCTCAGTGTCCGTGTGACATCACCTTCTTACCTTACTCAGTGCCATATTAAAAGGATCTCCACATCTACCTTTTCACTATCCAATCTCAAACTTTGAGGATTTGTGAGTACAAAACTAAACCAGTGCACGTGCTTTTGATTTTATTTGCTCAGAGAGTGAACAAGATGTTTGTTTTTAAGCTCCCACACACCCAAGCATCGATTCAGGCCTGCAACGGGTTATTTTGGGGTTGAATTTTATGTCTGAAAAGCCTTACCTGAAATATTAAGAGGTAATCTGGACTGCAAATATTTGGGTTAAATTGACAGAACTGAAACTTTTCACAGTATACCGTGAAAAGTTGTTTTTATTTTATTTTATTTTTTTATTTGGGCAACAAATTAGTTGTATTTACTTTTTTTTTTTCTTAATAAAAGTGTCTTTTAAATTTAAATCAGGCATCAGTGTCTTATATGAAAGTTACTTTAAGTGTTTTTTTGTATTCCAAGGGTGTGTATTTAATATAAACATACAGTTATCAGAATTAAATTCTTAGTGAGTCAAACAAGGTATAAATTCATAATTTCCTGCTAGGTGGAGGCACTGCCATTAAATTAGATATAAACAGTAAGTTGTATCTCTCTTTAAAATAATGTTCCCAGGGCCCCGACCAATGTACTACATTTCATTTACAATGGTTAACTCTTTAGCTACGTGGTACGGGCGCTAACCAACTTAAAAGTGTTAACTTTCATGATTAATCCATTGCTAACTTCTGGTTCAGTTTATGAGTGCAGTGAGCCTTGTTTGTACACAACTTTACTTCTGCAAATCTTTTCTAACCACAGGTCTAACTGGACATCAGTGTATGTGTGCAGTTTGGATACCTCCCAGTCCAGAGGAGCCTGGTAGCAATCAAAAGAGTCCATTATGATGAGAAATTTAGTGTTTGCTTCCTCCAGTAAGGTCAGGTCTTTTATGTCCGAATAATAATATTCTATCACATCAAAGGCAGACATTTTCTCAGGAGGACTGGTTCTACATTGAAGAAACCACAAAGATCGAAACGAAAGTTTGAGGACGTACTGCAGATCCTGAGGAGACATGGGCAGAGAAAAAAGTTTCCATTAACAAATATGTAAAAATTTTTTATTTTTTAGAAATACTTACAAGAAAGAACCATCATCTTTGTTGCAGCAATGAACTTTCAGTCTATGCAGTCTAATAAAAACAAAAACTAATGAATGACTGCCACAGTGGAAAACGGGAGACAACACAAGAGGGAATGTGATCTCACTGGAGCAAAGATGATCTGCCCTCTCAATAACAGGCGGCGGGTGGAGATGTCACCATCTACATAGACTGACACAAACACTTTTTTAAAAATCCTTCTCATTTTCACTATTAGTGAATGTAGTTTGCATGTCTTTCAAGGCCTTCAACTCCACCCAGAAAGGCCACCGCACCAGGGTTTGAACTGGCAACCTTCACGCTGAGAGGCAGCAGCTCTACCAGTTGTGCCACCGTGCTGCATGAGAAAACGTCTTAAATGAATTGTCTATTTATGGTTTTTAAAAAAAGAGTTTTTTTTTAATGTAGTGATTTTTGATTATTCAGTCTCATTTTATATATAGGGTGAATTTTTTATTTATTCATTTTTTCACACCAGCACCTGGTAGTAATATGACAAATGACAATTTTAATAAAAGAACAACTTGGTCCCAGTGTCTCATGTTTCTGACATCACAGTTTATTTTGAAAGGGAAATAAAGTGGAAACGATGGTAAAAAAAAAAAAAAAAAATCAGATAATTACTCCTCTGAAGCAGGCTTTTTAACACGTGCAAACAGAGCACACCCATCCGAAACCATCAATCATCATTAACAGCGATCAAGTGTTTTAGGCAGGTGACCAACTTGCTACTCACAGAAACAGCCTGTGGCCAAAGTGGTTGAGAAAAAAGTTTTGTAAGCTCAATCATCCAGGTAGATACCAACAAAAATGGTTAAATCATATCACCTGGACCTGTTTCTTTAAGTGAAGAAACAGCCTAAAACACTTGCTGTTAATGATGATTGATGGTTTCAGATGGGTGTGCTCTGTTTGCACGTGTTACTTCTGAGATTCCAACAGGAGGTTGTCTTGAAACACAGCAGTCCTATGGGACAGATCTGGTTGACAGGCCGCAGACGAAGTCCTCTGGATGGGGGACGAAACGTTTCTTCCCTTAAAGAAACTGCTCCAGATGTCATGATGTAACCTTTTTTGTTAAGAAGAGTTTAGTGCGTCAGGTGCTTTTAACTTACCCTGTTGGCACGCAGTTCTGCCCAGTCCAGAGAGAATTTGGCAACAGAGACCGACATCCCCACTCCTGGGATCCCAGTGGTCACCACCGTCTTTACCGGCGAGCCATCGTCTTTCTGTAGTCGGAACAGACTGTTCACACCAACAAACGTGTCCTCACTGGGGACTGGGAGAGACGTTGGAGGTTGTGCTAAGATCTCGTGAGAGGGGTCAACTCCTCCGTAACCACAGCGGGAGAGCTGAGGCTCCACATACACATTATTTAGAAGATTCTGCTTTCCAGCTTGAACCACCCCCTCATGGATGACTTGATGCTTTCTGAATAAAATGCTTTTCAGGTAAAAACGTAACAATGCTGGTGATGAAAAAAAGACAGAGAAATACAATAGTTTTAAAATGACAAGCATGATCTGGTATCCCTCTAAACCACCTCCTGTTTTGTTTAAGGGTGTTGTTGCATTTTGCTCAATTGTTCACACCAGGAGACTTGATACTTAAAAGTTGCTACGTAATTATAATCAGCAAAATGCAAAACTAGTAATATTGTCCCTACCACCAGAGCTGTACTGTCATTTATTTCTTGAAAAATAATGCATTTGTTTTCTTAGGAGGGAAAAAACTAATATCTGCTCAACATCTCTATTCGAGTTTGAAAAATATGATACAATTATTCAAAAAATCTCATTTGACTAAGAATATCTGCCTCATCCAAGTTTTAAACAAATTATTGAAAATTAAGCGTCTCTCAATTTTAAAGCAAACAAGTATATACATTTGTTTTCTATTATACTGTGTTGGGACTGAACCTGTCGAGCATGAATTTACCTTTCTGGCACTGATTTCTGAGTCCCTCTGCCGCCTCCTTCTTTTCCATGTGTTCGAGAGTGTTTACAGTAGTCGACAGGGCTTTATCTGGGCCTTCAGAGAACAACATGAACACAAAATCAAATAAATGAATACCAATCTAAGTTTTGTTGCCTTTAAACTGGTGCACTGCATTACCAATGACACAATAACTACACAGACACAAACGTAATACAGGACCGACCCTTCTGCTCATCGTTAGCTAATTAACTCATGTTGAAACCATAGCATTGCTTTCTCACCGTGCATCTCAATGGCCTTGTCTACAAAGTCGAGGAGATCTCCTTCCAGCACCTGCTGCATGATGTTCACTGGCTGACATTTGTGAAAGCACATCTTAAACTTGAAAAGCTCGTCAGTGTTAAGGCGAGTTAACGTACTCTGGATATTCTTCAGAGAGAAAGAAAAAACACAAATCAGCATTTTGACATACACAAGCACAAAGGTGTTATCTTTAAAAATATAATACTGACCTACTTTTGGTGGGCAAAATGAATGCGTATTAGGAATGCACGATATTGGATTTTTGGCCGATATGCCAATACAGTAGTCCCTCGTTTACCGCGGGGGATCCGTACCCTGAAGACCCGCGATAAGTAAAAAACCGCGAAGCCCACACTCTCAACAGCTTCTTCTGCAGCTCTGGGCTGCACAAATGTGCAGCAGGTGTTAAATAATTCATTTTAAATAAAAATCCCATGCCGATTGTGCGGCTCATCCATCATTCAGCCAATTGTGTGTCATGTCCAATCTTATTTTGAAAACCCGTGATAGAGTGAGTCCATGATAAACGAACCGCGAAGTAGTGAGGGACTGCTGTATGATAAAACTTATTATGCAGATACCCGATACCAATACCGATATTTTCCCCCCTAGACCTACTTACAGAGACTAAGTAACTTTCTCTGCTGTTGAATTAAAATACGACATAATTCTGCATGGTCTTTGTCAGTTTGGCCTGATACCATATGCAGATGATGAAAAGGGGACTGAAAATGATGCAACACTTCAACTTGGATTATGTTTAATGTCAAATTTATTCATGACATTTACTCTCTATAACACAATGACAACACTCGAACAGTCATAAAATAACACCGCCTTTTGTATCGGTGAGTTATTTTAATGGAATGGCCGATGTCCGATATTTAACTTTATCGCTCATATCGGCCGATACCGATACCATGTCGATAATATCGTGCATCCCTGATGTGTATTGTTAGATTTGTCTCAGCCTAGCATAACATTATTTGCCAAGTTACAACATCCTAAACTCAACAACTTATAGTAACTTCAATGAAGTAAAACAAGAACTGTGCTGTACTCACTTTGAATATGTGAGGCAGATCCTGTTCTGGGTGCAGTCTGCCTGGCTGGCTGTGCTCATCGGTCTGCGTTATATCTTCCAGTTCAAGGGGCTCAGGTGGTTCTGGAGAACAAGTGACTAAATATTCGTCATCATCCTCCAGTTCTTCCTCTGTCAAATCCTCCATTTCAGCAGGGCTGAAAGAACAGAGATTGTTAGGTGGGTTTTTTTCCAAGCAAGTGGTAAAAGAATTGGATATTACAAAAGCAACAGTGATTTTGACAAACTGAACAAAATATGCAAGTGTTACAGTACACAGCATGACATGAGTCTGAATGTGTGTTCTTTACCCAACTTCAATGACCAAAGCTCCTGGAGGTTTGGTCTGCTGTGTGGCTTCAGTGAGAACAGTTTCTGTGTACTCCGACTGCATCGCCCTTAACCTGGAGAACACCAAGCAAAATACTTAAACGCTGCAGGACTGCTTCAACACAACGACAGATTTTTCAAAGAACTAACATTTTGGAACAAAAGTTGGAACATGCGTGTCTCCTCAGAAAGCCATTCTTGAATTTGATTGTATGTATAAATGTAAATACAATGTAAAAGTCTTGAGCTGCTCTTTAAATATTTTCATTCCAAGCAACCAGATTTTCTTGTAATATTTTAAAATGTGCTTTTGCAATCTTTTCCTTTGGGCTTTAACAGCTTTTTTTACTCATTTCCATAGGGCTGTGTCACTTTTTGTTAACCCTCTCACCTCTGATCTGTGAATAATTCAGTCGGAAAAGGTTCCTAAACTTAACATGAGCTAGGCTTGTAATGACATGCAACAGACAACTTAGCAAACAACTAATTTAACTTAGATCTTTAGGCACAATGATACAAGCAGCCTGTCACAAACATATCATTTGTTTCCAATCAATTAGTCTCATTTATGAAAAATACACCCCCCCCCCCCCAAAAAAAAAAAAGAAATTTTACCACCAAAGAGATATTAGCTGAAAATATTACATACAGTCACTTACCATACCAATTTATTTATATAGCACTTAAAACAGCAACAAGGCCAACCAAAGTGCTGTACAAAAGAACACAAACATGCACAGCAGACAGGAAAACATAAAATAGAAATACAGATACAAATAGCAGCAGAAGCTAACTAAAATGGCCAACAGAGTAGAGAACAGACCGGACCAAAACAAATCACACCGTGTTAAAGGCAAGCGAATAGAAGTGGGTCTTCAAGCGAGACTTAAAGACTGAGAGTGTGGGAGCCTGCCGGACACTCAGTGGCAACTCATTCCACAGTCGTGGACCTGCAACAGAGAAAGCCCTGTCACCTCTGAGCTTACGACGGGTTTCTGGGACTGAGAGAAGCATCTGGTCTGCTGACCTCAGAGAGCGCGGTGGGACATATGGCTGCAGAAGATCAGTGAGATAGGATGGGGTGGAACTGTTCAGTGATTTAAAAACATACATGAGAATTTTGAATTGGATCCGAAGGTGAATGGGTAGCCAGTGCAGGGAGGCCAAAACTGGCGTGATGTGCTCTCTATAACCTGTACCAGTTAAAAATCGGGCTGCAGCATTTTGGACCAGTTGTAGACGAGCAATGGAGGACTGACTGATTCCAAACAGAAGTGAATTGCAGTAATCAAGCCTAGATGTTATGAAGGCGTGGATCACTGTCTCGAGGTTCTTTTTGGAGAGTATAGGCTTCAGCTTAGACAGCCGTCTCAGCTGAAAAAAACAGGATTTGACCATCATGTTTACGTGACTGTTGAGTTTTAAGGACGGGTCCATTATCACCCCCAGATTAGTGACCTTTTGTTTCTCTAGCGGGGCTAGAGAGAAAAGGTCAATGTCATGGTTCATGAGTGAGCCACTGGGATGGAACAGCTTGGTGATTAACCGAAGGATGACAAATCTCTCAGGACCTGTGTTAAGTCTTTTCTGGATATTTTTCCTGTTTTTTTTTTGTTTTTTTTTATGAAAATTTCAGCGTTCCCAGCATTTCATGAAAAACAACAATCCTCAGAGTTTTCCCTGATTTATTCAGAGTAAATCATGAAATTAAAGGTGATTTTTCAGTCACCATTATTCAGGGATGACAGTAAATATACTGTAACCTACAGGTACAGGTACATGCAACGACCAATCATTCCTAATGATTAATTATATTACATCATATAAACCAGCCACTAGGGAGTACAAGCCGGTGCATCTCTTGTGCCGGTCCCAAGCTCGTAAATGTTGAGGGTTGTGTCAGGAAGGGCATCTGACGTAAAACACTTTTGCCAAAACTATAATGCGAGTTCATCAAAGCGAGATGGAGGAGAATGACTGGCTGTGGCGACCCCTGAAGAGGGAAAAGCCGACAGAAGAACAACATCGTATACTAAAAAGCCACTACAGTAGTCTCTCGCTACTTTGCGGTTCATTTTTCGCGGACTTGCTCTATCACGGTTTTTCACAATGAGATATGACATGACACACATTTGGCTGATTGCTGGATGAGCCGCACGATCGGCATGACATTTTATGTAAAATAAATTATTTAGCACCTGCTGCACATTTGTGTAGCCCACTCTGCAGGAGAAACTTCCTCCTGCAGCTCCTCCTCCCTCTTCTGTCGATCTCAGTTCTGCAGCGGAGAAGTGGGCGTGGCCAAGAGCGCAGGTGTGGCAGAGATTTTTTTTCCCATTTACCCTTTATTTATACAGGTAGTCTCATTGAGAGATGAGAACTCATTTTCAAGAGAGACCTGTTTTTGGGAGCAGATGGTGGAGGTTGAGGGCCTTGCTCAGGGGCCCAGAGTGAGGCGAATGAGGACCTTTTCCACCCACATTTTGCTGTTGACAGTATCGGGAGTTGAACCTGCGACTTTCCGATCAGAGAGCCGAATTCATGACATTCTGTGCTCATTTACAGTGTTAAGAGTTTAAAAATATTGTTTGGAATATTGCAGGAATGTGGGAAAGATTTTAAATGCCTTTATATATTGATTCAGAGTTTCTTTACTGTCCTTTGCACCTCATGTGGTTCATGTGATGGAGTGAAATTATGTACACAGGGTCCCAGTTACATCAAACAATAAAATGCAAAAGAAAAACAATGATAGCATCCAAGATATGAACCAAGAAAAACATCAACTAAAAATACACTAAGCACTAATATCATAAAAACATTACGTCGAGAAAAATCACGAGCACGAGTCCATGTGAACAGATGAGCACGAATGAACACATCAATATGAAACAGATCAGCAGCAACATGAAACAGATCAGCAGCAACATGAAACAGATCAGCAGCAACATGATGTCATTTTTTCACAGTGATTATTCTGGTTAGAGATTCATGAGTCTAACAGCCTCAGGGTAGAAGCTGTTCCTCAGTCTAGTGGTTCTACACTTAATGCTCCTCAACCTCCTTCCTGAGGGGAGTGGGGCATAAAGTGTGTGTGCAGGGTGAGTGAGGTCCTTCATGATGCAGGTGGCCCTCTTCCTGCATCTGGAGGTGTAGATGTCTGTGATGGTGGGGAGACTGACTCCAGCAGTCTTCTGTGCAGCCTTCACCACTCTCTGCAAAGCTTTTCTTTGTGCAGCTGTGCAGCCTCAATGCCACATGTTGATGTTGGAGCACAGGATGCTCTCCACTGCACACCTGTAGAAGGAGGTGAGGACTGAGCTTCACAGACCAGCTCGCCTCAGCCGCCTGAGGAAGTAGAGTCTCTGATGAGCTTTCTTGATCAGGCTGGTGGTGTTGTTGCTCCAGCTGAGGTTGTCATTCATGTGTACACCCAAGTACTTGTAGCTGGAGACCACTTCCACTGCAGATCCTCTTATGTTCAGGGGGGTGTAGATGTTTTTGTTCCTTCTGAAGTCCACGATCATCTTTGTCTTCTTCACATTGATGTGAGGTTATTTCCTTTATTATATATATAAAATAAACTACTACTTACTACTTGTACTACTATTCCTACTTCGCAGTTTTTAACTTATCGCGGGGCTTCAGGGTACGGATCCCCTGCGATAAACGACGGACTACTGTACAGCCATTAAGGATGCATGTACACTGTATGAGCAGAATATGGACTTAGTACTAGGAATTAATACTTTTTTTTTCTTCCTCTTCTTTCGGCTGCTCCCTGCGTTAGGGGTCGCCACAGCAAACTAAGTCGCATTAGGAATTAATACATGTACACCACAAAACCTCAGAAAGATCATCTTTTAACCAGCAGATTAGTATTCAGATTCCCTGAGTTTTTCCTGTCTGGAAAAGTGTGAAAGTCGTTTTCCAGGATGTCCCTGATTTCAAAAGTCGCTGGGAACCTTGACTTTAGATAATATTTCTCTGTTTTGGTCTTTTTAGGCTAGACACTTCCTTTAACTTGTTTAACTTTCTCATTTTTATGCACACACACTACCCAGTATGTTGTCAGTCAGGTATAAGAGCTGGACAAAAAAGATAGGTTAAAAAAAAAAAAAAGATGAGATCCAAAAACAAAACGGAAAAAACCTCCAGAAAGCATGAAATTGATCAAAATATTTTTAAAAGAAATAAGTGGTGATTTTAAACTTGTTGTGCAGTGTATATTTGTATGAAAGAACAAATAGTAAATGACTGATTCAAGCAGAGTAAAGCCAAGTACACATTAAACTACCGGTACTTACTAAATTGTTAAACATGTACGTATAATGTTACAAAAGATTTAGGCAGAAAATGTAACCAAAATTCAATTTTTCTTTTTAAGTTAGTTTATGTCGTCTTCTGCACACAGTAATAAACTTTGAACAAACACACCCCTTGCAGTTATGTAGCTCTACTGGGTGAGAACAAGACGCATGCTCTGATGATCCAGTACAGCGTTCAGTATGGACACTGGGTGCACTGTTCACGTGGGGGTTCAGTATCTTAGCTCTAATGTTAAATATCACCATTTTGCTGTTAGCAAAGTTAGAATAATTTTGCAATAATAACATTCCCATCAAAATATGTGCAGACATTCAGAAAGATTCATTAAAGATAAACCCACATCCAACTCTGTGCAACAGCATTTAAAGTTAGAGGATTACAACAATAAAAATGTGTGTGGGTTTGATAAAAAGGAGAAGTCTTCCACACAGAAGTGGCGAGCTCAGAATAATTATAATGTAAAACAGCTAGCTTAATCCAGATCTGGTGAATACTTTAACAAGATAAACACTAAAGTATACAGAACTAAGCAAAGGTTAAACTTGCTGCATTGTGAAGTTTTCATATGGAAAATACATAAACATGTCAGGACAATGGATAAATATGATGAGGATACCCCAAAACTGGAGGAGCAGGATGATCCGATAGCACTGCAACTGGCTTTTCACCTTCTCCCTCCTCTCCCTCCTCTTCATCCATGCTTTCACTGTCACTCTTCATTGAGCCATAACTGGAGGGGGGTCTCTTCCATTTTTCCTCCTCCTCCTCCACCACAGCATTTTGTGGCGTTGCAGTGCTTCAGAGATAAAACAAGAGTGTTAGTAAAATGTCTGGGATAAAGTTTTTATTGGATAACTTTATTAATTTTGACATATGAACAATGTCCGAACAGTAACATTGCTGAGTACGCTGAAAGACGTGCGTAACCTAGATATTTCATTCACAGAATTTCATTTCATCATGTCCCTCCTGATGAACATAAAGCCTCTCCATCAAGAGAACCCTGAAGATTTCTCTAAAGATTCTTCTAACACCGAGTTACAGATGGGTTTTTAACATGGATCCCAGTCAACAAATAAATTCATCCATCCATTATCTTTACCCACTTCTTCCTTTTCAGATCGCGGGGGTCACTGGTGCCCATGTCCAGCCATCACTGTGCGAGAGGCGGGAGACATCTTGGACAGGTCTCCAGTCCATCACAGGGACACACAGAGACAAACAACCATTCACTCTCTCACTATAGGGACAATTTAGTTACCAATCAGTCTAACATGCATGTTTTTGGTCTGTGGGAGGAAACTGGAGTACCTGGAGAAAACCCACACATGCACGGAGAGAACATGCAAACTCCACCCAGAAAGGCCCTTGGCCGGGATTTGAACGGGGGCGACCTGCTCACTCAGAGGCGACAGCTCTACCAACTGCGCCACCGTGCTGCCCACAACTAAATTTGTTTAAAAAATGTTTACGTGTAGCCCAGTTTGAACTGTGCTATATAGTACAAACTAAGTTCATAGTGATATCATTTGAGTTTAAAAACAATGTCTAGGTGATAAAAGTTTAATAAATATGAAAGATAAAAAAAACCTCTTTTGTCATTGTATCATTTTAAAAACAGTTCATATCTGGTCAAGAAAATCTAGTTTAAGCAGAATGAAACAGGCAGTTGTCATTTTTACTACGTTCCTTGAAGGTCACACATAAGTTTGTTTGAG